TACTCTCACCGCTGGCCCCGTAACATACGGGCGCTTTTGATCCTTAGCCCTGGCGAAAGAATTGAAACACAGGGCCAACTTTGTCTTCTTGTGCAGCGGGCAGAGGAGACCCCAACCACAACATACGAGCGGGGCTACGCCAATGGAGAGGGGCGAATCCCCGGATCGGGGGATGAGGAAAAGGCAACTTCAAGACGAACTGGAGTTGCTTAAGGCGGCCGAAGCGGCGGAGCAACTACTAGCAGAGCAACGCGAGGAGTCAGAAGATTGGGGGTGGCCAGAACGGAAGAAGAGTGGGGCGACAGCGGCCCACCGTTCAGTGAGCCACCACCTGAGAGCCTTCCTGACGCGCCTTACTACAAACGCCGTAGGAGAAGTGTACCAGTGGAGCCACACACCGACATCCGTGCCAAACCTACCAGCTACAGCTTTTGTACGAAAGATAGGCAACGCTGTAGTTCGGACGTGGGCAGGGGGAGGACAAGGCGAAAGGGAGCCACTTTCCCCATGTTGAATAGCTAAGCCGTACTGCATGAGACATTTGTTGTGATATTTTTTCCTCCGTAGCTGGGGCAGTTATCCTAAACACCGGGCCTCCGTTCGATCACGCCAATGCCAAAAGGCAAGGGTGCGCGACAGCGCAGCGGGGGAGGGAGACACCCGTCAGGCCCGCAGAAAGAAAGAAAGAGAGAAAGAGATGGAGAGAGCGCCGTGCTTGGCAGTTTAGCTTCTGGACTTAGGTGGTGGCGTTACAAATCCTGCGAAGGCGGCTTAGGAGCAGAAGCATCGCTGCGGTGCAGGGAAAGGGGCGGGCGGTGTGCTTCCATGGGGTCTGACTCAGGAGCCCCATGGCCCTCCGAGTGCAGGGCGCTCAAGAAGAAAGAACTTGCATGTCGTGCCGATCAAATGCTTGTCCTCTTGCACATCCGACCCATGTGGCCCTCATTTTCCGTCAGGCTGGCTTTCTCAACGGGCTGCACTGGCCTGAGCGAGAAGAAGGCACAACGTCTTTGGCACGGAGAGCCGAGGTCCCAACACATAAGCTGTGTGTCTGCAGGCAGGAATCGAATTGGCATGGCTGGTGGCCAGAGTCACCCCTCGTCTTCAACGTTTGGTGCTGGCGGGGTAGTAGGCTCAGCGAGGTCTGAGAGCCACACTTTGCCCGCAGCTGCACATTGAATGAAGACAAGATGCCAGCCACAGGTCTGATGCGTCGCCTTCGCTTGTGCAGGGAATGTTGGAGGCCATCTCCAGGCGAGAAGTTCATGATTCTAAGGTCGCCCTATAGGGCTTGAATGTAGTGGGGAAACTTCGTTTGGGTTGTGTTGTGCGGTGGGGCTTGGGTAACCTCAAGTAGCCTCTCAAGGAAAAAGAGCACCATACATGCATGAGGAGTTTGACTTGTTCATGTAGCTTGTCCTTGGATTATGTTGTCGGAAGCTCCATAGGCGTTTTATCCATAGAACCAACCGACTGCCCTTGTGGCCAATGTGCTGCCCTTCGAACCGAACCAACCTCGCCTGCATCGTCAAATTTGCGAGTGTGCGAACGGTGAAAGACCACCACGACGACCAAAACGACCGACCACGCGCGCCGACCGGGATGACTCAGGTCGACCACGACCACCAGCAGGCCACCAGGAAACCACCCGAAGCGCCAGGAGACCACGAGGGCCCCAGGTGGTCAGCATGCTTTTCCCCAGGTACTGGCCCCGGGATCAACACCGAGGCCCAGATGCTTTCCCCTGCCTTGGCAGGATTCAGGAGGAGTCGTGAGCGCGGCCAGAATGCTTCCCCCAAGTACTCGAATCCATGACTTTCCTCCATTGGAGCTTTCTGGCGGGATTCCGAAGGGCGACGAAAAGAACTATTTGCCCCCTGCGCCGCGACTTGGTCAGCTGGGCGGTTGTGGGAAAAAGCATAGCTGCGATTCAAGGTGTCCGAAGCTGGTCCATGCACTTGGAGTCTAGGTGCGGCCGCAGGGATCCTTTGTAAAAACAGGTCGTGAGCGCAAAGTGCGCACTGTGCGCCGCAGCATGAGCATGCATGAGCCACGCGTCGGCGAGCGGTTTTCGACTGTTCTCGTTGCCCTGAACGTTGAAGCCCATAGTGTCACCGCGCTGTTTGGGAAAAAGCCCTCCAGGCTAGGACCATTTAAGTTCATGTACTGCTATACTGAGATACGTCGTAGGAAGACCTCATCTGCTTACAGATGTTCACCTTTGCAGTGTTCAGCGACTTTTCTCTTGCTGTTGCAGGTCCCCAGCTGCCGCTGCCGAGCGGGCCAGTGACTTAACTGGACGCAATCCATTTCCGCCGCTGTAGAGTCAGGGCTGAACAACCCCGGAACCTCGTGTGCATGTTGTGTGTCTAACCGTCGTTGCAGTGTGAAAATAACTCGCCTGGTGGTGCAAGTGCCGGAACATGCCGAGGCCCTAACGCACAGTCCTTTTGCTTTGGGTCGACCCGAAGTTCGCCACCTCTGTTGGCCCATGACCAAGCCGAAAAAGACGCACATTCGTGTGTTGGAAGAGCTAGTTTGATCCGAGGATCGATGTGGAGAATGCCGGGCCTCAGACGTCAGAGCATGACCAGACAGCTTACCCAATGGCACAGTGTGCACGCCAAGGCAGAGGCGTTTCTGCAAGTCGGGCCCAAAGGAATCAGGAAACACAGTAAAGCTGCTGAGCTGCCTGCTTATTTCAACCACCTTGGTGCCCGAAGGCAGCAACCATCACTGGTCCGCAGTTGTTCCAGGCGGACCATATACCGGTCAGAATGTTCCCACTGCCTGATAGAAGACTTTGCAGAACCGACACCTCCACATGACTAAATGCGGCATGCTGATGCATGAGCAAAGAAGATGATGTCTTGATACAATGGTGATGCTTTCCGTCATTGCTGGCCAGCCGCAGGCTTTTCGCAGCCGGACTCCTAGATTCTCCGGACGCGCTTTGCTGGGATTCCCTGTCATGTAGATGGTATTGGGTAGTCCATCGAGCTCAAATTCGGAAGAGCCGTTTGTCTTTGCAAAGTCTTTCGGCCAGCAGATGCATGCACGAACGTAGTCAACCAAAGTGGCCGGAGTCTGGCAGGAAACGCAATGCTGAGAGCTGAGGCAATGGCTGCTTCAGCTTTCAGGGTCTTCGATCCGAGCCAAAGGACACGGCGCACCCGGCTCGATTAGATGACCGCTAGAGTCTGCTAGAGCACATCTCGCACTTCAAGCATCATTCTCGAGGTGTGGCATCAAAACGGTTCCAGCTGCCGCTTGGTTGTAACATGTTGTAACCGGACCTGGAAAGAGCCAAGCCTTGAAGCTGCTTCCAACATGCGCATGCAGTAAAGGATTCCCATGCGTGGTGATGGCTGGCGACGGACAGTGACAGAAAGGAGAGCTGGACCAGCTGCACAGTGTGAGTCAATCTTCTGCAGGCTTGCATGTCGCAGCGAAGACTGCACGAAGCAGTGCTCCGATGACGAGATATGACAATGCCAAAGCCTCATGCAGAAGCGGCGAACTTGTGCTCTATATTCTAGATCCTGCAACTACGGCCCTCTGAAGTGCAACAGGGCAGGTCTTGAGACTTGAGGGCCTAAGCACGTGAAAGAAACCACTGACACTACTTCATGTCGCGACGTAGTCGAGCAAAGAGAAGCAGTTGTTCCTGCGGAGCAGTGCCTGCAGGAGCTTCGATGGTGGCGGTTTTCGGGCTGCCTTCCGGCTGGAAGCCGCTTTGAGAAGTGGCTCGCTCGCGCGAAACTGATCAAACTTGATGACAGCCTTGCCTTGTGTCCGACTGCACTCCACCCATTTGGCCGCAACTGGCGAAATCTGTTGTGCTTTGCGCTGGCTGCACTTTAATAAGTTGCTGCTTGTAACAACCCGACAGCCAGCGACTATTACAGTACCGAACTGACCAATCCGATATAATCCGATGTTGCCCGACGATCTCATAGGTGGAAGGGCCCCCGACTAGTCCACGTCGTACTTGTAGCATGTTTCAGGGAATTCCTTGATCCGATAGTTCATCTAGAGAGACATACATCGAGTTTGTGCAATGCTGATAATCTGATAGGCCGCTCGACAGCCAACCCCCAACATGCGAGAAGCAGATGCGTGTGCAGCGGCGAGTGACGGTGTGGTATCCAAGCTGCCCTACCAAAAGTTGGTTCCGGGGAAGCGAACCGGCAGGTACATTCGTGTGCCAGACATCGGTGAGCTAGCAGATGAGCATGAGCAGCATTCCGTTTATCTTCGAAATGGGAGGGGCGTCGAAGCTACGCTTGAAACCACTGGTTTCGAACTGAGGAACCAAGCGACCCAATGCACGAACTTTTTTGATCCAGTTGCAGTGGCTACAATCTACTACCCGGAAGTTGAAGCACTCGTGAAGCATTCTACAGGTTGTGCGGACGTGATAGTTTTTGACCATACAATTCGCGAAAGTGGTGCCACTGGCCTTAATGTGCTTTCTGAGACATCTCAAGCGGCTGCGCCTGTCATGAGGGTTCATACAGACTACACAGATGAGTCGGCACCTCGCAGGCTGCGAGATTTGGTACGATCAGAGAGCTACACAGGCATGAAATTGTCGGAAGAGGACTGCGAGCGAATCCTCAGCTCGAGGTACTGCTTTATCAACGTTTGGAAAAGCATCGCAGAAGAGCCGGCTACAAGATGTCCGCTGGCCGTTTGTGATGCCAAATCAGTGGACTATTCGAGAGCCATTAAATATGAGATGCACTTCCCAGATCGGATTGGGAGCAACTACGCCCTCGAGTTCTCTCCACAGCACAGATGGTACTACTACCCAGGGATGGGAAAGGACGAGAGTCTTTTGTTCAAGGTCTTCGAGAAGGACGCTTCAAGAACGCAGTCAGTGTTTCACACAGCCTTCCATGACCCGACAACGCCCGAGGATGCACCAACTCGTCGATCCATCGAATGCCGGACTATTGCCTGCTTTGCTGAGTCAGAAAGTGGGAAATGCTCCTACCAGCCTTTGCAGTTGATGCATGTTGTGATGCATTCCAATAAAGTTCATTTTTGCAGAACCACATCCCAAATCCTAGTTCACACACCGAGCCTTGAAAGAGTGATGATTGGTTGTTTGCCTCCCACTCGCTCGTTCCAGCGGTGGGAGACGAGTTTCTTGCGTGCAAAATGCATCACATGAACAAAAGTGTCTAAGAGCAGATCCAGCCAGCAACCGTTTGAATGCACCAGCCTGCAATCAAAGCAGGAATCCTGTCGAAAGCTCATCGTCTGCTACCCTACTCTTACGCTTCCAAAGAATGCCAGTGCGGCTTCAGACAGACCGTGCAGCCCGTCAGGCAGCTAGCACATGCTGGCACGACCATCTTGCATGTTCTCAAAAAGCACCAGCCATGAAGCAAATCCTCGAGAGCAATGCCTGGCGTTTGCCGGCACAGGCCTGTCTCGCCTGCATGATCGGAGCTCATCCTGGCGAGTCTGGAGTGTCTGGGGAGGGTGTGGATGATGTTAGAGTGCAAGATGCCACGACTTGCCTTGGTCACTGCTGTAGCAACCTCGTAGCTTCGCCGACATGGCACAGTGGACTGCAGGTGACAGTGAGCTTCATTGCAGCACCTGGAAAGCACCCGCCAGATGAGCTCAATGTGGAGACTTCTTGAAAACGGTGAAACAGTGGCAGCAAGGGCTGCTGGAGTGCTCTTTTTCTTGTAGACTCATGTGAGGAGCGGCTTATCTCTCAGCTCCCTCCACCACTGAAAAAGCATTTATGGCTGAAGACGCCGAATTTACGGCGGAAACTAGCAACTCGGAGATATTGGGACACCATCAATGTCAATTCGCTTCATGTGAAAATTGACATCTGCATTGAAGGGGTAGGCTACGCTTCTTCACCTTTCCTTCTGACCATGTCTGACCCTTCAAAGTGACTTTTGCTAGGGTGCGGCAGGCTTAGTGCTTAGTGGAAGACTCGTCATAGGACTTTCTTCAGCTTCTTGTAAAGGTCACAGGTCACTCCTTAAGAACTCGCAATCAATCCGCATTGCAGTGTGGGAAAAGGGTGATCCAGCTCGGGGAAGACGACGAAATGTGGATTCCGATGCTAATTGGCTAATCGGTCTACCGATCAAAGGCCGGCCAGGCTCAGCAGCTCATCGATGCTGCCATAGAGGATGACCCGGAGAACGGGCAGATGTGCCTTGTCTAATTGCACTGAGCTTCTCAACTTCTAGAAGCCAACGACTCAACACTCGGGTGTCATCGCTGTGTTGCTGCCGGCCCAGGATCAAAGCAGCCATTCGACAAGGCCTTCTCGAGAGCAAAGCAGTTCAGCCAAGATTTCTGATGCAAGCACGGGCGCGTCCTCAGCCAATTACAAGTCCTCGCGAGGTGTCGACAATCTGAACCACGAAGCGGCTGCTTGGCGGCCCATGACGCCCACACATTTTGCCTAGCAAGCTGGTTTCGAAAGGAAATCGGGTGGAATGCGTCTCTCAAAATCTTGTCGCAAATCACGGCTTTGATAAGCGGGTTAATGATGGACTTGCTCGGGCTTGAGCATCCGACAGCCATAGCCAGTTTTCTGCCAGGATTTGCATCCCTTGGAGTTCCAGCAGTCACTCAAGGACATGGAGAGGATTGAACGAGCACTCAAGGCTGCCAGTGACAATTGGGGTCCATTAGCGCAAGTCTGACGCTACCTTTGCACATGCTGTCTCGCCAACTAGGGACGGTGTGATGCTAGCCAAGCAAGCGAAGCATTTCAACTTGAATGGGGACGACCTTGCCGGAAGGTGCACTCCATGCAGCACGTGCTCTATTGTTCATGGAACTGGCTGCCTACATCGACCAAGCGCAGAAACAATTATGTGCTGAGGGCTTTCCTGTAGTGCATACTACCGGGCCCGGTCGCGTGCTGAAAAGAGAGATGTTGCAGGATGCGCAGGGAAACGGAACGTAAGAGCAGGCCGATATTCAATGATATTCATGCAAGGGGATCTACTGAAACTCTCGTTCCCTTTGCGATAGCCCAGCTTCGACCCTGCTCGCAAGCGAGAGACTTCCCACGTCGGAAAGTCCTCGATGTTCTCGTTACTTCCTTGACGCAGAGCCTGCCTGCAATGAACTCATGCACACGAGCTATTGCATTGACTTCCTGTTTGCCGCCCGAAGTAGGGAGATGGATAGTGGCATGATGTTAAATTGCCAAGTGTTTAAGACTGCAAGTAGGTCTTCGGCCGTTCTTTGTGCGGTCAATACTGTTTTCACCCGTTGCGATGTATCACGACCGGCACTTCAGCATCCAGAAACTTTATATTGCATTTACCCACTCGCATTGGTTGCTGATCCACCGTCGCCATGGACGGGGCAGATGCCACAGCGGACCCTTCGCCGAAGCCTGAGAATCTCCAGAGAAAACGAGTGGCCCGTAAATGTCTGTAAGCAATTTTCTCAGTAGAAGAAGTGTCAATGAGATCTATGATGTACAGCTACAGTATTCCAATAGATGTAGGTATCTATGTATTCACGTATGTAGTTGTAGCATATGTATATGTGTATATATATATATACACAGACATGTCTATGTCAATGTGCATACGCGTGCACATGTGCATGTACGTGTGTGTGTGTGTGCATCGGGTTTCTGTCCAAACAGAAGCTCCTGGGCACAATGAGGCCCGGGTGCGCTCGAGAAGAGCCTTGAGTTTGCTGAGTTGCGACACAAACCTCGCCTGACTTGGTCGAGTGTCGAGTGCTAAAAATGGATGTATGTATTTCAGCGGGATGTACTGCATAGATAGACAGATAGATGGATAGCTAGGTAGGTAGGTGGATAGATAGATAGCTAGATATTCACAGATATATATATATATATAAACGCATGCATACATACATATAGATGCATATGACCACATATCTATATATACACACATATATATATACATATATGCATATGTATGTATGTATATATGTATGCATGCACGTATACATATATATATATACATATATATATAAACAAGGTACCCTCCCCTCAGTTATCTACCGTGTTCGTGGGTTCTTTAGAGCCCATTGTCGTTCCTTGCTACTGTCGTCATTGTTGTCTTGTATTGTTGCCGTCACAAACTCACCCAAACACAACTCTGTACATGTCTGTATGTGTCTATGGTAGCCCCCTAATATGTGTGCAGTCAGTGTGCAGTACCAAAACAACAGATGATAGAATACAAGCCCGCGCACGTGTTCACAGCACTGGTGCATGTATCTAGGGCACTGGGAAAGGAATCCGAGAATTGAACTTCAATCCCGGGGATTGAACTTCACTACTCCCGGATCCAAGATTCAAGATTCCAGGACAAAGGTTCACCGGGATCTTGAATCTTGGATCCGGGAGTATTGAAGTTCCTCGGGATTGAAGTTCATACTTCGGACTGAACTCCAATTCACTTGCCCGCGTGCCAGCATGATAGCCTACCCTTCCAGCGTTGCATGCAAATCAAATCCACGATGAACAATAGTAGCGTTGTTTCCTTTGGCTTGCTCACTGAAGTCCATTGGACCCAATATTAATCCTAGTAACAATAAACCGAAGAATGACAGGCCTTTTCATATTCACACTACCATGAGTGCCGGCGTGATAGCCCAGCTGCATGCAAATCAAATCCACGATGCTGTAGCATGTATTGTTGGTTTCCGTGCGCTTGCTCACTGAAATCTTTTGGAAATGGCTGAAGATAAACAGTGGTGCCGGCCCGCAAAATAATTCCTACTTGGTAGAAGCAAGAATCGTCGCAACAGCAGTATGGATGTTGAAGCCTTGTTGGGGCTCCTCATTTCTGACTGAGCAATGAATTGCAACAGCAAACCCCAACGTCTGTTCTATTGTAAACTGCGAACAGACCTCGATGCCTCGTGCAATTCGTGGTGTCGCTATATGAGCTATGTAGATGAAGTATGTTACAGTGTACATGAACGTGCTTGGGACGGCTTTGCCAACCAGCACGGAATCGGTCTCTCAGTCCGACAAGCTCAACAAACCAGCAACATTTGGCTCAAGTGCCAACGAGTCAAATGTAGTTCAGGTACTTACGGCTGCTAGATCCTTTGAGCCATTGAGTGCGTGTGTTCCCCGTTGCACAGACGTCACTGACTTCGAAGCCAGCGAGTGCGGAAAAGGAACCAGTGTTTGCCTGCATCGGAAGCCGTCCAGTCCTCCTACTAGGCGACCACAACATCTACCACAGTTTCTTGCTCGGTGAGGTGAGCATCATCGAGATTATCGAATACCAACCCTCGCGCATAAACTACGATTCAGCTTAGCATGATAGTTGTTATAGTGGCCTAAGTGACAACCCTCACATTGGCCTCAACAAAGTTTTTTCAACCCCGAAGTACTGCCAGCCGACCTAACATGAGCCTACTCTCATACTCGTCTTAACCGTCATGGCAGTATTCACCATTCATGCCCATATACACCGTGACAGGATTATTCACTACAGCCCACGTTTATTCCCCAAGCTCAGCATCGGCCCCGGGTTAACCCCAACGGCAAGTCTGATATTAGCTGCAGACTAGAGATCAAGCTCCAATAGGAACCTTAAGAACCAAAGTGAAGTTGAAGTGATTTTTCATCCTGAACAGCATCAACCTTCACATTGAGGACGGGCCTTGGCCTTGATAGTGGTCGCACTGGCGACTCTGGTGTTACTGCCCTCGATACCCCCCTTCACAAAAAAAACTGACCGAAATGTCAACCCTGAGACCGAACAGCAGGAATATCCTGAATGGTCATCCTAGCCCAAACATGCTCTCCGACGTGCCCTGGAAAGCCACGACAAAGGTAGATAACTGAAGGGGGGTAGCATATATATATATATAGAGTATATATCACACATAAAGAGGCATACGTACATAGATAGAATAAATATGAAGTTAAGCATAAGCGAAGGCGCGTGTGTGTGCGTGTGTGTGTTTTTGTTTGTTTGTGTGTTTATATACGCATACATGCATGTACATGAATGTATGTGCGCAGTGTTGCGTAGCAGGCAGTGGTACTGTCCACAGATTGTGCTCTCAACTCCCAGGACTCCCAAACACGAAAGCAGATCGCGCACAGATGACCCTGGGCTGCAAGCAGCTTTCCGCTGTCGAGAATGGCCAGCTGGGAAGCTGTGAGTTGAGCGAGGGGCTCCGTTTCGTACCCACCAGTCGCGATGTAACAACTGCAGGAGGCGTCGTCAGGACCTCCGGAGGAAGAGCCTGAATCCACTGAGACATCGCAGGCTGCTTCGAGGCTAGAATTAGTAGTTGCCATGGGCATGTCACATTCGGCCTTGCCACGTGTTGCAGTGGTGTTTGCTACGTCTCAGGCAACAGGTGCCCCCGAGTTTAAATTACCGAATCTGGTGCGAAAAGACCCTACGTACTCAACATAGACATAGACATCCAAAGGCAGGACTCGAGCACAAAGAGACAGTTATCAAGAAGAGATCTTGCGCACTGCACGAGTACATAAGGCTGCCCAGCCACCCACGAAGCCAAAGGCGGCCGAGAATCGTAGAGGCACGCACGGCATGCGACATGCGAGGGATGGGACGAGATGCTGACATCCCTGCAGTGAAAGTAGCCACGGCTTTCCATTTGTCTCTGATTCGCAAGGAAGCAAGCGTCCACACCCACCTGTTCCCAGCCTCGATCCGGACCAAGCCACTGTCAGTCCGACCATCAGCCGTGGGCGCCGCTCAGAGTTTCATAAGTGCGGTCCACCTGAGAACCAGACAGAATCGCACAATTATTTGCCGCTGCCTGTGATTCTTCGAGGAAAGCACCGGCAGACTCTGACCCCAGAGCACGGCCACGATCCAGAGGAGGCCGAAGGCTTTGAAAGGTTACAGACACACTGCGAGGGTTGAGCACAGGCAGAGAAAGTCGGGGACACACCGAGAACCAGTAGTGTCATAGCTTTGCTCTGTTCGGCTCGCCGCAATCTGTTCTGGAGCTTCTTCTTCCGGCACTACTCAGCCAGGCGGGATGCCCCAAAGAACGCGAGATCAAGCGGCTGCAGTGGCTTGCTTGCCAGTAGGTCGATGGGGCAGGGCGTGAGAGGGGAGTATCACTCAGCACAGATTGAAACATTGTTGGCTTCCGGCCCAGGCAAGAGCTCAACGAGCAGAAGACGCAGATGCAGAACCTCATCAACCTAGCCAAAAAAGGCCTATCAGCCTCCATTGGTGGCCAGCTGCCACTCGACCGCAAAGCTGCCAGGCCGCTTCATGCTAGCAGACGCGCTGGTCGAGAATGCGAAGAACGAAAGAGCCACTCAACTGAGTTAAGAAAGGCATATTGCCGAGCCCAGGCGTCACAGTGTGTTCGGCGGAGCCTTTTGGTTGCGCTGGCATCAGGCAGCACTGCACCCGAATCCGATATCTCTTCTGAGATTGTACTGACGCCGTGTAACAGTTGTAACCTGCAGAGAAAACCGATGACCTGGCAGCTCCGAACTTCCAGATCTATGAGATACTTGCTTGTAGTCTTATTTTTCCTGTAGAATTTCTTTACGTCTTAAAATCTCGGCAACCTGGAGCATTCTGCGAGAGTTGCTCATGCATCCGAGGAGAAGCTTCGTGTGAAGTTGTTCCACGATGGTCTTCGCGTGCCTCGGCACCAGCTGGCAAGATTCAGATTGCCATAAATGCCTTCAACAAGCACTTTGATATCTTTGTATACGTGCATACCTACATTTATGTATATAGCTGCAAAGGGCTTCGCAGATCCTGCAAGCCATTCCGGCCATCTGAATCTGAATGTAATCGAGGGGCAAGGATGTGGCCTTCCCCATGACGTCCCGTATGACCGAAACCAGCAGTCTGAGTGCTCTTTCAGCAGATCCCCGGAATCGGGGCTGGAATCTGCACACCTTCCGCGGGTTCAAGGTTACATGTCAGTGTACACGGTCATCGTTCCGAAATGGTAAGTAAGTAAGTAAGCAAGTAAGTAAGTAAGTAAGTAAGTAAGTAAGTAAGTAGTATTAAGTAGTCATCCGTGCTGACCTTTTCCTGAAACCAATCCTCACTTGACGAGTTGCTAGCCGCTAGCCCTGACCCTCAAACAACCTGCAGACTTGGGAGTCCATCGCTGCGACCCCAATCAGGTTGGCAGATACAAGACCAATCTGTACGGCACTGCGGAATGGGAGAATGGTACCGAAGCAGCCCCTTGGAAGACTACAGTCGCGGAATGAAAGCAAGCTGCACGTAAGAAGTCTCAACGCCAGCATAGCGTTATGAAAACGGATAGGGCAGAACATTTGGCATTCCGGTTAAGGCCAATAAGCGTTTATTTAGCGTTCCCGAAATCCGTTCCTAAAAATAGGTGTTCCTGAA